ATCAGTACAGTGGGTTCTATTTATTCCCCCAGAGTATCAGTGTGACCAAAGACTGTGTGGTCAATGGGGGCAAATGTCAGCAATTATGTGCCAAAGTTACTGAAAAACATCCATCTCTGGTTTCAGAAGCCGAGAAAATGGCAATAACATGCTTGCATAAGTACAAGTATGCTTGTTTAATAATATGTTTATGAGAGAGATTGGTTACAGTGTGACAGCAAGTCGGTGTTGTTTGTTCTCGTCTGGCCCTCTTCAGCTGTTTTTACAAGATTAAAGTCAACCTGAAATTAAAAAGGACCTTTTTGCCTTGTTATGTCTCTGACCATATTAAAGGAATACTTTGGCAAAAAAATCTAATTTAACACTTTTCCACTTATCCCAGACGCAATGGAGACATGTTTGGCGTCCAAATTTTGCTTCTTTAGTTTAGCGCTGGTGCTTCAAGGCTAACAACAACTGGAAGTCAATAGTCACCGAAATACTTTCCGTAAACACAGTGCCAAAACTTCTCTCAAATTTCTCAAACCACATCCGTGTCTTCATTAAAGTTATTCAGACTTGATTTAGGCCCAATCCTATTTCACCCCTCGCCCCTACCACTTAGCCCTTAGCCCTCCATTTTGCATGTTTGTGCCTAGGGGTAGGGTGTCCCGATTTTTGATGAGATGGAGGGTATGACTGATATGAACGCCTCAGTCATCAGAACTGCTGCACTATTTAAAGTGGAACGGGAAAATTCGAATAAGAAGCTTCGTCTTCGACTTCAGCTTTATATCACTAAAGAATCAGGGGTGGGTGATAATAAATAATTGCCCCCCTCTTTGAAGGCATATGATTCCCTAAATGTAACTAAAGCCCAACAGTGAGGAGCTGAACTTTACCCTCCTCTGCTGTCACTGCAAACTGACAGGGTCGCCTACAGAGCAGCGCTGGTAGCTCTTAATGAAGTAATGCTCTTTTTATTTGAGGGTCCCATTTCACAGGGAAGATTTCAACCACTACACCTTTTAACTCAGTTCCAGGGGGCAAGGAAACACTTGAAAACAAGGTGTAGGGGTAAAAATAAGAAATGGGTTTGGGCCTTAGAATAGTTGCCCGCAGCATTCTACACAAACTTCTTCATGAAGTTGTGTCTATTTTTATAGTTCACAGGAAGTCCTACACTGTCCTGAACCACATCAGCAAGTCTGCATGACCTTATTGAAGAGAAGCTGAGTGAGAAAGAGAATGTTTTGGGGAGGTATTTACAGAAAAGATTTAGGTGGCTATTGACTTCTATTTGTTAGCAACATTAGCTTCATAGCTCCAGTGCAAAATTAAGCAAAAATTGGACGGAAAACACATCTTGGCTGGTCGACTGTATCTGGGGGAAGTGGAAAGAAAATTGATTTTACCAAACCATTCCTTTAAAGTACGATCTGTCATATCTAAACGTAATGAATTTTGCCAAATCTCTAAAATATCTTGTGTTTTTTTGATTATATCACTTATATATTTATAACACAAGACAAAACGAGAGCATCATTGTGAAACAGAATGCAGCACCATAATCGCTTCATGTCGATTACCTTCTTATCGTAATTGTTGGAAACCAAAATCATAACTGTAAATTAAATTTGATTAATCACCCAGTCCTAGGCCTGCTGTGTCCCTGTCCAATGAATGATTCCTAATTTCCTCAGTTGTGTATGTTTTGCAGCATTTAGGATCAGCTGGTTAAGTTTGTTTGTGAATATTTTACATACTGGTCTGAATTTTTCACAGTCAAGAAGAAAGTGTATCGCTGTCTTGACCCCCCCACCCCAACTCACTCTCGCATCATACCAAATAAAAAGACAAAATTCTTGTTTTCCTGTGATCTTCCACCTAAATGTAATGAATTTTGCTTCATCTCCAAGATGTCTTCTGTCTGTTTTGATTATATCACTGTGGACTAGTGGTAGTAAAAACTGCAGTTCAGGGATGAGAAACAGTGCTGAAGGGGGTTTATAGCCGTGGCAGTTACATCTACATGCTGAGGGACAGACAAACAACCTCAGTGGACAAACTGTCCTGTTTTCTCTGTGAACTCTGCTACGTCCTGCATGTCTCTTCACTCACACACTGAATAAGAGTCATGTGAGATGATACATAATCAGACTGAAGACACTTGGAGTCATGCACTCCAGAATGCACTCCAGACTCTGTAATCAGGGAGGATCATGGGATGTCAAGTGTCGCTGCTAATCTCTCTCTCTCTCTCTCTCACTCTCTCTCTCTCTCCCTCAGTTCAGTTCAGAATAGCTGTATTAGTATGACTGTGTGAAGTACAGTATTGCCAAAGCATTATAACAATAGTAATAACAATGAATAAACAATGAAAATGAAAACAAATAATAATCATATTAATGACTATAATTATTATACTAAGATTATTTGTATTTTCATTAGAATTATAACTATACTAATTAACTAATTAATGATGTATTTGGAATTTTTAACTTGTACATTTGGTGTAATATTGGGGTCAGTAGGGTGGGGGTCAGAAGTTTTGAGGTAAGTAGGGTGAGGGTCAGAAAGGTGGGGGTCAGTAGGGTGGGGATCGGAAGGGTGGGGGTCAGATGTTTCAGGGTCAGTAGGGTGGGGATCAGAAGTTCTGAAGTCAGTAGGGTGAGGGTCAGAAGTGTTGGGGGTCAGAGGTTTTGAGGTCAGTAGGGTGGGGGTCAGAAGTTTTGAGGTAAGTAGGGTGAGGGTCCGAAGTGTTGGGGGTCAGAAGGGTGAGGATCAGTAGGGTGGGGGTCAGTAGGATGGGGGTCAGTGGGGTGAGGGTCAGTATGGTGGGGATCAGTAGGGTGGGGGTGAGTATGGTGGGGATCAGTAGGGTGGGGGTCAGTAGGGTGGGGATCAGTAGGGTGGGGTCAGTAGGGTGGGGGTCAGAAGGGTGGGGGTGAGTATGGTGGGGATCATAAGGGTATGGGTCAGAAGGGTGGGGTCAGTAGGGTGGAGGTCAGAAGGGTGGGGGTCAGTAGGGTGGAGGTCAGAAGGGTGGGGGTATAGGGGGTGTTACTCACTGTCTCGCAGGCAGTGCGATGTTGTTACCTATTTAGCAGCGAGGGGGGGCTGTGTGCCAGGGCTGCCCAATAATAATCATTATGATTGTCATGATAATCATGATTATTTGGGTCAATATTGAGATCAGATTATTTAACATGATTACTCAACTTTCCAGTAACTTTGGAAACATTGTGAATTTACTGAACATTTCACCGAAAAATCTTTTTAACAGTGGATTTCCTTCAACTTCAAATATAGTTCACCTGAAAAACTAAGAAATAAATACAAAAAATGATAAATAAATAAAATAAATGATATATAAATAAAATAAATGATATATAGTATATAAATGTATATACATTTAAATAAACCATATAAAATAATAAATACAAATAAATCCTAAATAACAAAATAAATAAGATAAACTATGTTGTAATGTGTTCCACAACCTGCTGGAAACTACTAAACATATATAAAAATCATAAATAAAAATAAATTAGACTAAAATAAAATTAGAGTTTGGGCATTTAGTGAGAGGTGAAAGTGCACCGCTGTCTTGACCCCTCCTCCCTCTTACTCACTACCTCCTCACTCTCTCTCACTCTCACTCACTCTCTCTCACACACAGGGACACAAACAGATCAGAGGCTGATGTTTTGAGCTGAGGACTGTTATCTTTACTCATGAGGGCAGAGTTCGGCCAGGTTATGATGCATAATGTAAACTCATCCAATGGACTGTGGTTCTGAGGGTTTGACCACTGGGGCTCACGGGCTGTTAGTTTTCATTTCATACTGATTATGAACACTAGAGGTCAGTGTAGAGTAAAAGGTAGTTTCATCCAGACTCCACTGTTTGGTACCTTTACTGTGCTTTAAACTGAAAACAACACCCTGGCAAATACTGAGACTAATCTCACAACCAAAACATACACCAGACATAATGAATAAGAGTTTATTTGCCATGCTTACCATCATCATCACAGCGCCCAAAGCTGCTGATTAGAAAAGGGACAATCATTAACTGCATTATTAGTGACTTCTAATTTGTAGTACACATGAACCACTACGGATCCACCCAGTAGTGCTGTAGTGAGTCACTTCTGTTCTGTCCTCACTGACCTGACCTGACCATACTGTTATTATTATTAGTAGTAGTAGTAGTATTATACTAAATTGCACACTAATAACCTTGAACCTCGGTGGGACATATCAAGTTATGATAATTATAACAACAACAACAGCAATAATAATAATAACAATGACAATATTATTATTGTTATTATTATTATTGTTGTTGTTATTATTATTATTATTATTATTATTATATAATACTATTATTATTTAATAATTTGATAATAGTGATGTGGACAACAAATCAAATAGTGTAAAACATGATCAGATCACGTGATTTTATAAGCTGCCTGTGCTCACAGTGTCATGTAATTTCAGTTCAGCCCTTCTTATGTAGTACCTTAAGTAATATAGGTCGATTAAGTAAGGCTGCAGTGGCGCACACGCACCGGTAGGGGGAGCACAGAGGCTTTTCTTTTTACTTTTTACGATTAAAAACGAAGAGAATTGAATATTGAATGAACACTGTGGCGCAGAGAGTATTAGAGTACAGCTCTACCAATATCACCGCTAGGATTAAAAATAGCTTAAATAATTATACAACAAATGAAACCCTACACACGAAAGTGTCACTGCTCAGTGACAGGCATAGGTTTACCTATTCATCTATTTATTAAAATAAAATGTTAGATACGTCAATAAACCCGACAGATTGCTTCTGACCGGCAGTTTTACCGGGAAAAAATATTATAATATTTAAAAAAAAGCAAAAGAAAAAAATCGAGTTTGCGGTTGCGTCATTCGCACGGAGCGACGCGATTGGTTGCTTCGCGTTGACGAGGCTGTTGACGTCCCGGCCGCGTTTTGTTTGCGCATGCGTGCAAACCCCGTGCCGTTACTGTGTGTGTGTGTGTGAGTGTGTGTGAGTGTGTGTGTGTATTTAGATGGTGGCAGAGGCAGAAACCTAACGTTGCTGACCGGAGACTCGAGTGCAGAGCGGCTTGGCTGAGAGGAGGACAGTTGTTTGTCCTCCAGGGAATCTGAACCGAGGCTGAGCTACAGACGAGGAAAAGGCCGAAGAGGAGAGAACCCCCCCCCTCACTTCTCTCATTTCCCTCCTTGGACAGGTGAGCCATCGCTGAAGAACATCTCTGACCCAATCAGCCGAGCATGTCGCCTTTCTTCTCTCTGAGCAGTTCTGTGAGCGAGCCTGGTCGCAGAGATGCTCTCAAAGCTCCTAAAGCTCGGACGGTGAGCTTAAGGATGAGCTGCAGCCACGTTAGTGAACCTGTAGGGCCTACAGAGGCTCTGAGTGGAGCTTTACCAGCTTTACCTGCTTAAACAGACCTAAGGATGAGCTGGTGGGGTTGTTAGGAGTGTGTGGGCAGTCCTGGGATGGACACAGACCTTCCTGGACCAGAGCTGGTCTCCTTTGGCCTAGATAGCTAGCTGTGCTGATACAGTCCTCTTTCATTTGGTTCATTCATTTATCGTATTTCAAATGAATAACCATAGTTTCTTCTATTGCTATTAGGCTGTATCACCTCCTTGAGCTGCCACCAGGTTCTTCATGGGTTCTTTAGTGAAGGCAGCCTTGAGTTCTGTAACCATCACATGCTTAAATGGTTCTTTATGTAATGAAATGGCTCTTCAGATTGGTGGAGAATGTGTTGCCTATGGCTCTGTTGTATAGAAACTCTTGGAAAATGTTCTATATAGTACCAAAAAAAGGTTCTTCTATTGTGTGCAAGCTTGACATCATAACAATATCATCCATTTCCGAAAAGGTTCTGTATAAAACCATGTACAACACGTTCTCCATCATTCTGAAGAACTATTTCACTATGCAGACAAACATTTAAGCACTAAACGGTTCCATATAGGTCTCATGGTTGCCTTTACAAAGAACCCTTGAGGACCATCTTCGTTAGGAGTGTAGACGCATGGCCATGGCTGGCTATGCTGATGCAATCCTTGTTCTCATTTCAATAATTTGTGGTCGTCTTAGCTGCCTTTGAGCAAAGCAAGTGAAATCAGTGCTGAAAGGTCTCATTCCTGAGGTGCTCAGCTCTTCTTCTGTTTGGCTTAGAACAGTAAGAACCGATGCTGAGGCTTTCAGGTGCCACATGGTTTCAGAATGAGAGTCTCAGCATCCATCCTGGCGCATTGTGGACTCATGCTTTCCTGGCTTTCCTGTTATTTGGCATTATTTGAAGATTCATGCTGTAAAGTGCTGGCTGTAGTTTTTCTAGCTTGCCGGAAGCTGGATCAGTAATTATAATAGCTCGTCTATTATAATTTGTCTGTGGCCTCCTTTGGTTTATCAGTGGAGCAGCAATAATGTGACCTTGGATCTAAAATCTATCTAAAACGCTGTTGGTGCCGAATGGTACCCAGTGTTGATATATATGACATTTGGAAAGACGGCCTCAAGTGGAGAGGTGGGTTTGCGGTCCAGACAGGGAACAATTGATGTCTATAACAGATTAGTACTAGTATAACCAGCTTGTGACTGGGTCACCGTTACGCCACATCATAAATTTTAAGAGTAATTTCATTCTAATGATTGTTTTCCCATTAGTCAGACTTTCCCTTTGTTTATTGCCTCGGGGGAAGGTAGCAGTTTTGCAGTGTAAGGAAGCGGTAATTTATGAAACAGCTCAACCCTGGCGTTTTCACAACCACAGCAGAAACGTCACAGTAAATAATAATAATAATAATAATAATAAGAAGAAGAACTATTTTTTTCCCAGGGCCAGCCAAAAATTAAAAGTACAGTAAGAAAACGCGGAGCTGTGTTGTTGAACAATAGATTAGCCGTGGGTAAAAATTGGACTGCATTATTTTGACTTCAGTAGTCTTTGGCCGAATCATTGGAGCACTTGGCTTCATCAAAACACACTAGAATCTCATTGGAAATTGTGATTGGTCGGGATGCTCACAGCGCACCTAAAGGAGCTGTGGCTGGTTAGAGCGCTCATTCAGTATTGAGGCCTGCTGTGATATCAGTTTTATAAAGGCTTATATTGCGTTAATGACTAATAAATGATTTATTGGGTCCTCAGATTAGAGCTGAAAGATTCATCGTTTTTATATCGAAATCGCAATTTGAAAGAGTGCAATTTTCAAATCGCAAGAGCTGCAATTTAATATAATAAACTATCAACAATGTTGTCTTAACAGGTTTTAAATTAACAAATAACTCAGAGCTTGTAAGCTGCCTGTAGATCAGTTTAGACCAGTCAGAAGCAACAAAACAGCCATGTTCTGTATATGTGACATCACAGCCATCACGACTAACACACTCAGTGTTCAAGCCGCATGCCAGAAAAAAAAGCCTGGAAATTAATTTATAGAAAATTATTGCATTTAAATCGCAAAAGCAATATTGGTCAGAAAAATCGCAATTTGATATTTTCCTCAAATCGTTCAGCCCTACCTCGGATCACGTATTATTTCACCTGTAAAGACGTTGGCCCTTCATTCTCAAAGGAAAATGAGTGCACGAAAATTTCACCAACACTTTTGTTATTGATTAGTTATAACTTTTGGTGTATTGGTACAATCAGATTCACATTGTCTTACTATAAGGAAGCTGTAGTTTATGAAACAGTTTAACTTTAATAAGAAAATCGGGAGCTGTAGACAAACCGTTTCACCAGAAGCTCTGAAAATCACTGTAGTAAAGGAAATTTTAAAATTCCAATATGAACATTAGTGAGTTCAAATATAAGTACATCAAATTTAAGTGTTTAGTTTTCTGTTCCCCTGTAAAGATTCCCTTTCAGAGACGACGTTCAGTTACTCCTGTGATGGACTGTAGATTTGTCCAGGGAGCGGTTCTTCAGTCAGGTAATTGACCAACAGCTAGTCTGCAGCATCAGCTGCTGCTTAGTACCCTTTTCCTGAGTGTGCTTGTCTTCAGGCATTGCATTAGTTTGCAAACCACTATCAAGCTCATTAAATCTACGGTCACTTTTTGCCGCTTCATGAACTGTGTGTGTCTACTCGTTTTGCTTTGGTGGCCAGAAATGATGCAGCTGTAAATTTTCTCCTGAGACGGACGTTTTGCCATTACTGATCGTTTCCTTACGAAGAACAGTCTTACTCAACCACCCGCCTCTTATACAGCCATCATTCTCTTTATTACCTTAAACCCCAGGCTTTTCTGGTTTAATTATAGGGTTTTTTATTTAGTAACTGCTGTGAAACTAATTTGTGAGCTGTGTGGTTTTGAGAGTGAGGAAGTGTGAACCGACACACAGTTCTTGTAGTTTAAAAGGTTAAAACTGACAGTTTACACTGTACAGTAATTTTAAAAGCTGCTGAGGCGCATTTGAAACCCTAAAAGAAAGTGTTGCAAATGATATGTGCTTGATATACAGTTTCTTTGGTCTGTATATGACTGGTGACCTGTCCAGGGTGTTTTCTTCCTTCCGTCCCAATGACCACCCAGAAGGATAAGCGGCATAGAAACTGTGTGTGTGGGTGTGGGTGTGTGTGTGGTCTGTATGCATCACTTTGACAGTCCTCTGGGCCTGAATACCGCCAGCCGCGAATTCTAGCTGATGTAATAACTACTAATGTGGATCTGCTCTTGTTCTTGAGGGACGTTGGCTATTTCTAACAAAACCCAGTCATGTAGAATAGAATTGAAAAACAAAGTGAAGATTCAAACATAGATAGACAGACAAACGGACAGACAGACAGACAGACAGACGCTTTATTGATTCCCAAGGAAATTCAGGACCCAGTAGATAACACAGCACATAATGATAAGGGTGGTACAATATAAAAAGAAGAATATATACAAAAAAAAACTATCTACAGGCATATATACAACTAGAAATATACAAAAAAATATGCAATAAAATCTATCCTGAGATAAAAAAGTAAATAATGACTGTACAAGGAGGCGCAGGTAACAGCATATAATGACAATACTGAATAAATGTGTGCATATATTGGTACTGAAATAAAGTGTCCAGGTGGGGAGTTTCCAGATGTGTGACAAGGTGTGCAGAAGTGCAATATGTACAGTGAGGTGTCCAGATGTGCAGATAGATAGATTTGTGTGAGTTTGGCTCAAGTATGCCTTGTTTGGAAACTAGCAGTCTTGAGACTGCACTATGTTTTGGGGATTTGGAGCCCTCTCTGGTGGAAACGTGTAATTGCTTGCAATGTGCAGAAACCGCTTTGTAACGTAGGTTGCGTTTCGGACCCCTTCCATGAGCGTAAGAGTATGATGCTTGCGAGTGCTTTGAAGGAGAAGGCTGAGTCTTCTGAGGATGGGAGTGAATGATCCACTACTGTCATCATATCATCACCAGTATATAATGTTTTACATTGAAGACCTAAACATTGAGCCAGACCTTCTTTTTGAGCCTGTTTGAGTGACGTTAATATGTAAAGACGGTCAGATGGACTGTTTGGGAGCTCGTAAGGTTTAGGTTGTCCCTTTGGTCACTCTTCATTTTGGTAGTCTGATATAGATAATCTACAGATACTCAAATTGTTAAAAGACCAGCTGGTTATGAACCGTGTTTCAGGGTAGATTAGATTCATTTTATTGTCTACCTATATTTACCTACAGTAAAATTCAGGTGCACCACCTGAAACGATGCTCAAAATTAGGTTCTGAGTTGAAGTTTAAGGGTAGATTTAACAGAATCTGTTACGTTTAACTTACAGTTCATTTACATTTAATAGATATTTAGTTGAATGTTACAGAATGTTACTGTTACTGGACTTTCTGCTGACAAACAAGTGATGGGAGCCCTTGCAACCAATCAGATGTAGTTGTTTTAACTTAAAATAAGTAGCCTGACCGTCTTCAAGTGTTGTTATGCGTACGTTAATGCAGTCCTGATCTTATTTTTCCAAGTTCTGTTTTGAATCCAGCTAAGTTGCTTACGTCTTAAATTAAAACACCTTACAGTTCCAGAGTGAAATGTATATTTAACCAGACATCTTAGTGGGCATCTCGTCAGGTGCAGGTCACACAACTGACATTTCTATTTACGTTACAGTGAGTATCTTCTTAGTGTAGATATTAGGTCGGCACATAGTGGAAAATGACTACATACTACACTGTGATTGTACTGATACATATTGCATTTGTGATATA